TCAAACCCATCTGGCCAATGGTAATATGGTATATATATATTACAAATATATAGCCTCCATTACACTGACAAGCAGGAAATATTGTTGGAACTGCTTTTGCATCGAAATATGCATTTGCATGAAAGGTGGCATAATTTCATTTAATAATTTCATTTTTCTTTAGCTTTTTGCCAGTTTTTAACCCATCTCGAGCATCTTCAAATTTGGCAGAAGGTGCGTTATGGTGAGACCGAAGACGCCAGTCGTTTTTGGTGTGGGTGGAGTGATCGTTGCCATGGCTAACATTTTTGTGGAAATATTGTAGAACGCTGTAAGTTGTGTGCTTGTTTTTAGCCGATTGTCATGGAATTGGCACACAGGGCCGATATAACATATCCTGATGACAATCATGAATTTAAATACAAATTTTAATACAAATATTAAATTTAAATTTTTATTTTTAAATTTTTATTTTTAAATTTTTTATTTTTTTATTTTTAAATTTACATTTTAATATAAATTTTAATATAAATTTTAATACAAATATAAATTTCATGACAATCGGGTAAAAAGTGCAGAAGTTACAGGTTCTAGAATATTTCGACAAAAAATGTTGTTACCATGGCAACGATGACTCCGCCTACACAAAACGATAGGCCGTCTTCGCTTTACGATAACGCACCTTCATGTGAAATTTGAAAATGATTCGAGGAGAAGAACTGCAGCCGGTAGAGCGCTCACAAGGAAATCTCTGCGGCGGCGGCGGCGGCGCGACGATGCCAAACCCATAGTATCCCCACGAACTTCGTTCGGGGGATACAATAAGAGTGTCGTTATCATGTATCTTTTACGCCCTTTTTTTATGTCAACAACTAGGGAAAGATGTCACGCTATCGGAGCAGTAACACTCCATTAGACTGCAAGGTGTATGTTGGCGACCTGAGTAGCAACGCCACAACACATGAGCTGGAGCAGGTGTTTGGCTACTATGGTCCACTGCGCAACGTCTGGGTAGCACGAAACCCACCCGGATTTGCCTTCGCTGAGTTTGAAGACACCAGAGATGCTGAGGATGCGGTAAATGCACTTGATGGAAGGTACAATGACTGCAAATATTCATTTTGCTTTTGTTTCTAACGCTTGCGAAACGCAGACGTTACTAAAAAAAATAGCTACGCGAATATTAAAAAAACTTGATAGATGGCAAGGCAAAATATAGCCATGCATCCATTATCAAATGCCATAGTGGCATATTAGGAGGACAATGAGGGTACTGGAGCTGAGAATTTTGCTGGCTGCACTGTTTTGTTAACACAGGACTGTGTGCGGCTCACGAGTGAGGGTGGAGCTGTCAACCGGCCGGAGTCGCTCCCGCTTTCCTCCGCCGTCGATGCGCCGACCGTACGATCCAAACGACCGCTGCTACGAGTGTGGCGAGAGAGGGCATTACGCATACGACTGTAATCGCTCTGGAGGGCGGCGACCACGTCGCTCTCGCTCACGGTAGGCATCATTTAAGGCATCGTAATGTCGTGCGATGCAACTGTACGCATAGCACAGTTGTGCGTGTCTTTTGCCGGTTACTGAGCTACTGCTTGGTAGTTATAAGGCCATCTAGAAGTAAATGATATTCCCGAAACGGGGTATAGTTTTGTAAATCGCACTGAGTTTAGTATGTTGATACATTATCATATTTTTGTGAAGCATACTTGCCTTCCGGCTTGACGTTAAAAGCTGAGATTGTCTTAGTTGAGCCTAGCTTTTTATCAAAATATTGTTTATATATACTTTTTCAAAGCGCGAGATATTTAATATACTTCCAGCCATATGTCACCGTATAATGTCAGCCAAATGTTGGCCAGATCTCCTGGTTGTTACCCATGCATTGACAGGATGCTGGTTCAAATTCGCTGCATTATTAGTGAAAAGGTTGGCTGATGGTTATCTGGCATTAGGTCACTAAATCACATCATGTCCGTGCTCATCTGCGAATCAATGATATGACTGGCTCTTTAATGCAGGCCGTATCCCCTGATCACAATAAGAATCTGACCACACTGACAACCGTCTCAGCGAGTTGTTGAGCACTGTGTAAGGACGTCAGAGACGCGAGGCGTTCTGTCGTTGCGCACGCACACACATGCGGGTCGCCAGCACCCAGCCGTCCGTCCGACGTGAGCGCAGCTCGTCTAGATTCGCTCGGCAGACACGATGAATGACAACCATCCCTCCCCAGACACGCTGGTCTCGCCTCCCAATCTAAGGGAGACTTTCCGCCATCACGCTGACTCACCGCCATCTCTGATCGTCCGAGTTGCGTGCCAGATGCTGCGGCCGACGGCCGTCCCTCCCCAGATAGACGAGAGAACGAGTTGCTTCTCTCTAAACGAACTGAGTTGTCGAATGAGCGAGCGAGCGCGCGGTGCCACTACACGCAGTCTTCAGAGTGCCTAACGTTCAATCTTTGCCTTTGAATCGCATGTCAAAGTCGACGTGTGCCGGCTCCGGGGCAGCTTCTAGCAGAAATCGTAAGATGCACACTCTGAAGCCTTTAGGCATGCTTACGCCGCGCACTCGCTCGCTAGTCGCGTGCGAGACACCACCTACGTAGAGTATACGGCGCACACACCTTGAGGTAGTGAGATTCGCCAAGCAGTTGTTGAATTTAGAACGGCAGACACACCTGACAAGCGAACGCCGTGGCTGACCTGCAGACAGAAAGACACTGTCGGCAGAGCAGACGACCACCGCACGGTTAAGTATGTAACCACCCCAGCTAACATCCGCCGCGCTCACAGTGCCTGCGACAACAGCACTGCTCCCGTGTCACCCACCCTTTCCTTCCTCGCGCGTGAGTCTTACCTGCATGTACATCAAAGTCGACATCAAACCTTGTTGCTGATCCTCCCTCAATGAATCTGTCTAGATAAGTTTTATCGGTTGCATGGTGTGTATCCTACCTTGGCCATGTTGGCAGGCACCACGTCTAGTTGCAAAGCTGTGAAGTTAGGTCACGTTAAATTGCAGAAGTACTTGTTGCAGGGTACCAGCGGTAACAATTTTGGCAGTACGTTGTTTACACGGAGAGTTATTTCAATTTACCTAACTAAACGATGGACGAGTTGAGATCGTTTGCACACAAGGGCCTGTGCATCTTGGTCCAAGTTAAGCATTTGTACGTGGTTCTAAAATACTGTCAATGATGCAACCAATCAATAAATTCTTTATTAATCGACCATGTACTATGTGTGCATAGCGGTTTTATAACCACGACGTTGGTGGTGGCTTTTAAAAACTGGGCATGTAGAATGGGGATCCATCTAGGAGCTACATGTATAGATTTTCCATTTCACAGGCGGTCGTGGAATCTAAGAGACTAACTTACTTACCACAATAATACTAACTTGAGATATGCATTAGACACTAACAAAAACTTCTTTTACTTTCCCCACCCCCTTCTTTCTTTCTCTATTTCTTCGCCAATCCCTCCCATTCTTCCCAGTTCTTGCTCTAAGGCTCTCAGAAGAGCTCAAAGGATCTCAAATCTACTGGTACGCCATCATTTATTCCTTCTCATGCGATCCCCTGACATTAGTTAGGGGAGAATTTTTTATTTTGTTGGTTTACAGATCCGCCGACCGGAATTTTCAAGAAAAACGGAAAAAAAATAATTGAAAATCTGTATTTTTTTATTCCCGCCGACCTTTTCTCTAAGAAATAGGAATAAAAAAAATGTAAACTTGCACAAACAGTTTATAATAAAAGTAAAAATAATTACAAGTTGAGTTTTGTTTTCATTTAGTTTTCTTAAAATACTTTAATATCTTGTATAACAGTATCACTGTATTTTGACATGTTTGATCTGACAAAACGAGATTTTTTTTTTTACCCTACCGAGTCAACAACCAAAAAAAAAATTCTGTAAACCAACAAAACAAAAAAAGGTGGCCTTAGAGCCTATCCGGCTTAGTCGCAACATCGTTTCGTTACCAGCAACATATGGTAACGTATTGGTTGCAAGGCACGTAACAAGCATACAACGAACAGGCGTGGAAAGTTGTTGCCGGCAAAATTTCGACGCTGCGTCATAGCAGCGCCACCCATAGTGTTGAAATGTTATAATTGCAAAGTGTATTTCATCGCAGTGGTTTTGTCCCGTTTTTTCACCGTGCTTCCTGTGTTGTTCGCAGGTCCCGATCTCGCTCGGCCTCCAGGGGGCGCCGCCACTCTCGCTCGCACAGCGCAAGCAGGAGTCCCCGACGCGATAGGCGTGATAGCCGCCGCAAGCACTCGCCAAGCCGGTAGGTGGCGCCACCGCCATGCTGGTTGCTTTTTTAATGTGATTTATTTCTTCGCATGTCGTGTAAAGCGTGTCTGTATTTGTTCCATTTCATTTCAAACTGTGTTGTTACGTGATAGTGCGGTATAGTAGTGATATGTGTTGCGTTAGTCGCTCACATTTGATTGTTGCGTGCAGATCCAGGAGTCCATCTCCACGGCGAGGAGCGTCCGTGTCGCCACAGAGAGAGAAGTGAATGCCAGTTGGACAACCGCCATCGGTGTCAAGAAGAGAGTCATGGCTTGTTGTTTAAATTGACAGTAAAAAAGTTAGGCGTCCTGCGATGGCAGTGTGCGCTGCCATGTGGCCGCGTTTGAATCCCTGTTGTAATTAGCCGAGTGATGTTTTAGGGTGATGAGGACATTCGTGTCGTATCGTGCGAGATGTTTTAGTCACATCTTTTATTTTTCATGTGTTATTAAGCAGACACATGCTCCCCAGTGTATGGGAGGGGAGGGAGTTTTACCTTGAGCTCTGCTCACGCACACACAAGGCAGTGCATCAGAAATGGAAATTCAGTGTTAGCTGCGTAAATACGGTGTCGTGGAATAGCAGGAGTGTACGTTTTTGGTTTCTTCGCGTGTCTAGTGAAACTCGAATTACATTGTATGTTTTGAGCAGCAATGCATGACAGTATGCCAACTGCAATGCCTCGTCACTATATCTGCACATTTTCGTGAAAGTTCTGTCAATGGAATTACTTTCTTATTCTCGTCAGCTGAGTTTTGCATAGCTCTATTTTATTAGCTAGTAGTCGAGATAATATTTAATGACAGATGGCAGTATTCCTGTGCTGCAGCAGGCAAAATTAGTATTAGTCATAATTGCAGTAGAACTAAGTGACATGGAGTAGAATCAACATTGCAAATTAGTGAGATCATATGTTTGGTCATTCATGATAATCTATCACCTGGTTGTCACAGACTGTATCCACGAAAACCTGCAAGCATTTGTAAAATTTCATGTATGAACTTCGATTCTTAATAAAAATTTATTTGTTTAATAGCATATTATTTAGTAAGATTTGTGAAAAAGATTAAAAATGTTTGCCAGACCAGTGTTGGAATATCTTACATTTACACATTAGTATACAGTAAACACCCGCATAAAAGAAACTGCGGATTAAGAACCTCCAGGCTGAAATTGGACAAATAAAGCACCTATAGTATATAAGAACCACTTCAGCCTGATAAATTAAGCAGGTTCTTATAGGAAAAAAATGCCGAAAATTAAGCTGTGTTATGTTACTGTAATGCAGTTATGCTGACAATGAATTATTGCCTGTACTGTCTACTATTAGTCAAATCAATTTTCACAGCATTTGACCTTTCATTGTGTTTAATATGATAAGTAAATAATTAAAGGTGATAAATAAATTAACTAAAATGAATTTAAACAGACATAATTTCTAATATTATTATGCAGTTGGTTAATTAATTAGTGTCAATTATTCACTAATTAAAGCCAATTTTACCTAGATAATGTACACAATATCCCCCCCCCCAAATTAAGAACCTCTATAAGAACCTCTTCAGGCTGATTTCTCACTATGTATCATATATATATAAGAACCACTTCAGCCTGAAACAGAAAATCACGGGTTCTTTTATGCGGGTGTTTACTGTATTGCAAAGCTATATACAGGGTCCCCATATCCCTTAATTGAAAGTTATTGAATTTTGTCCTTTAATTTGTCCCTGAAAATGTACTCTACCAAAGTAGTTTGTTTTGTCCTTAAAGGGACAGTAGCCTCTAGGATTTTACTGCATACAACTGTACTTACTGTATAACAAATCGTCTATACCCACACGTATTTGTTACCAGATACCTAATTTAATTGTTATAATTAATTTTTTGGCTTGAGCATAGAGATATATCTCCTCTATAAATAAAACAAGTGATTGATTCGATTAATTCGCTAATAAACGTTTAATCTTCACAAGAGCAATACCCATGCACAACGTGCAGAGTATCCTTAACAATGCGTGCGGGCTTGTAACAACACTTTGGCAGCGTTCCAGAACGACCCGGGCATCTAATTTCTCCCCGTCCCGTTGAACTAATAAACGTTTTATAACACAAAGTACATGAAAACACTGTAAATACACTATACTTACTAAATTCGATTGAAACTTCTTTGTCTCTACAGATTAACAGCTTGAAATTCGCCATTTTCTTAGAAAAACTCAAATAATTTTCGGAAGGAGAAGTTTCAAACGGGAGGACTGGACGTTATCACTTACCTTTCATTTGAGCCCAAGATCGACCTCCTTGCAGGAATTCAATGGGACGGGCCATGTAAAGACCCCAAATAATGAAAAAAAAAATCGCCATTTTGCGGCCGTTCCGTTGGCATGGCGTTTTGCAGATAAACAATAGTCAAACTCCATAATCGTCAACACAAACGAAAACACATTATTGTAACATTATTTGATATCTCGTGATTATAATGAGCTATATTATAGTTAATTCTATGATAATGAGTTATATTCTATAGTATAATACTTATAGAAATTTATTAGTTATCATAATTAAAAATTGATCCAAAGTTGAACTTGTGCCATTTTGCTCAAATTCCTCATTGCGACGTCACGTGACTACTATCACTTAGACCATTTATCAAACGAAATTTGCCATTAAAGTATAAATAACACGGTTATTCCACGGGTATTAAACGACATAATTTTGTTCACTCGACACTCAACTCTCCTATTTCTAGCCTTTAAAACCAGCCCAAGATCGTTTTTCTAGGTGCTTGCATATAGCGGGATGTGTTAATCAAAGTTGACTAGTTGCAAAACGAGTGTGTGCCATTTTCGCGGTAGTTTGCCGGTGTGATGTTTTGAACATAAACATTGTTCCAAAACCACCCATTGTCAACTCAAATGCTAAGAATAGATTGTAACATAATTATTTGATATCTCCTGCTTATTATGAACTATAATAGTATCAGGAGTAAGATAATATAGAATATATTATCTTACTCCTGATAGTATAGTATATGTATTAGTTATCGCAGGCACTACGGTCCAAACTCTACGGTACAATGCTGACTGCCACCGCGGCAGTCTCATTTGCCCAATGCTACTGCGCTTTACACGCAGCGCTACTGTGACGCATGCGCATGACGTGCTGGGGTAATTTCAGACTGGGGTAATCTCAGACCGTGACACCGGCAACCGAACCTGCCGCAATACTGAGAAACCGCACAATGGCCAATGCCACTGTTAAATAACCAAATGACTTTTCAGCAGAACTCTGTGATGTCGTCTATGCATGGATGAATACATAAATAATAAAAATAAACTAGAAACGGGCAGTTGTCGCCAACTACATGTATCCCCCGTGATCTAGTATGAATGGAATATCTCTGTAAGGACGTAGAAGGCAGGTAAAGTTAAATAAGTCACAAGGTGTGCCTCAGATGTGGAAGTATATGGAATCTGGTTACCCTAGAAGGCCGAAGAGGAAATGTAAGTCGACGGTGAAGGTCAAACTAAGGTCAAGGACAGCGGTGGTTTTGGTATGCGACAGACCTTCTCCCCAAGATGTGTAAACATACCAAGTTTAGTCGCGCTAGGTCAATTAGGGGCTGAGTCGCACGCACGCACAATATTATAACTGAAACTATATGTCGTTTATAAGATATTACAATCCTTTTGCTTTTAAATGAATAAATAAGAAACACCCTCGGCCTGTAGCCCTTGGCTGGAAAGTGGTTTTGCGCAACTTATCAGATCGTGCACTTTGAGTGGTGCCACCGTCGTTGTAATCAAACTGTAGTCATTAGTTTTAAAACATTTAAAAAAAATATTTCTAATGGTGATTGAACCATGAAACTTTTTATGTAGCATAATTATAACCTAAATTAGCTGAAAATAACCCTAGAACCTAGAGTAAACTCTCCCTTTAATATTAACGTGCATGTGGTGTAGCTAGGGGTCTAGACTATAAGTTCATCATTTAGTCTATTTATTATTCAGTGTTCATAATTTGCTACACAATTGTGTCAATTTAATTGTGTGTAGGAAAATACACTTGAGTAATAAATAAAAAATATTATAATAGCATATAGCACAAAATATGATTATACGGCTATAATACGCGTTTTTATAGTCACAAACACACATTAACGGACGCACACACGTCACACGTGGGTATGGTCACACGCACGCGTGCGTGTGTATTATAGGTGTAAATTCACATTTTGAGCCGCGGGGGGGGGGTGAAAAAGTTTTGGCTGAAAAACGGTCATTCTCTTGTGAAAGTTTTTCCATGCTTGACTGGTCAATCACCATCCACTGATCACCATCACCATCCACTGATCACCATCACCATCACTGGACCATCCACGAGAGCGGAGTAAGGAATAAGTGATTACTTTTATTTCAAACTCCTTGACAGATGGCGCTCTTGCTCTGGCTTACATCCTATCAGCAGAGTTATATTCTCTCTAACCTGTATAATACAGTCGTTATGTTCCGCACGGCTACACTAACGCCTGTAAGCGAGCGCCGCGCCAGCGGTTCGCGAGCCTCGTTATCGATCGACCGGAAACGGTGTTTGACTTATGGCGGGGAATCTGATTAGCGGCGAGCAATCGAGTGTACAGAAGTAAATACGAGTAAGGAATGTGATTACTTTTATTTCAAACTCCAAGCTAGATTGAGCTCTCTCTCTAGCTTACATCATCAGCTTATCCAGTGATACATAGCCAAAGGTCAGCATAAATTTAGAACCGGGAATTTTTTATTATTACTATTAAATCTTTACCTCCGCCCACGGAGTTGAGGGGAGGTAATGTATTCGGGTCTGTGCGTTAGTGTGTGTTCGCGCGATCGATATTAGAGCGGCGAGTCAGTCAGCAGCAGCCACCAGCGAGCGACGAGTCAGCAGCAGCCAGCAGCGAGCGGCAAGTCAGCAGCAGGCGAGTCAGTCAGCAGCAGCCAGCAGCGAGCCAGCTCGTAACACATACATGTTACATGCTGGCAGAGGTATGCACTCTCCGTGAGTGCAACCTGTCTAGTTATTACATGTAATTCATTAGAAATACATATATTGAAGTTTTTTTCATGGAGAAAAAATCTGATAAATGCAATAGTGTTGAGCAGTTAAAATAATACAATTTCTGTGTGATACTGAGTGATACTATGTTACAGGGGCGGACTGGCACCTTGTGGGGGGTGGTCAGGACTTTGTGAAACTCAAAAGGCCTGCAATATCAGAAAGGTGGAAATCTTGGTGGAACCCTCACCCCCTATGGATTGGAAAAAGTCCTCGTATTTGGGGCACAATATTTTTCAGACCGCCCGATGAAGTTGTTTTTTTTTTTTTGAGGGCTTGGCCCTCTGGGCCCTCAGGCATTGCCCGATTTGCCTGAGGGGCCAGTCCGCCCCTGCAATGTTATATCAAAGTTTTACATATTGTTAAAGGACGGCGACATGAATCGGCACGAATGACAATATGAAATGACTATTTTGTAGGGCCTACTTCGGTAACCCAGCGAGCTATGTCGGCTGTTTAATCTGCTGTCGGCACTCGTGTAAAACTACTATTTTTTTTACTTTATATATGTATCTAAGGTATATATGATGACTCTTAAAAGCTAAAAGTACTTGTCACAGATTGTCCTTGAAATCTCATTGAAACAAGTGCCGCGGAGCGACAGCGCTCATCTAACGTCTACTGCGGTGACTCTGTGGTGGAGTGGTGGGATTCTAGTAAACCCTGTTAGTCCCAAATGTGTTCACATACACGCCGAAACAGTGGAATGCACAAGGATGGTATCAGGAACCTTCTCAAAGGAATGTTCGTTGGGATCGTTATGAAAGTTGCCACGAGATGGCGCGTACGTTTAAGTGTCTTCAGATTAAAGATGGAAGCTCTCATCGTACGTAGTAGCAACAACTATTTGCAAGACAGAATAGGTAAGCACTCATCCATTTACCTACGCAAGCCTACAGGCTGCAAATTGCAATAGAGAGCTGCCACCTGTAACCAATTAACGCAGGCAAAAACTGCACCAACACATGCACTGGCAGCAGCCACTGGCAGTGGCATACGTTACATGTAACATACTGACAGTACAGAATGCCATAGAAATTATACGATTTAAGGAACATACACCTTCTTTAACCAAATTTAGCTTTTGAAATTTCACTGTGACATTGTAGCCTCATACATCCAGGCATGTATAGATTCTACTAGCAAACCCGGCAGTCAAATTCTTTCTAACAGACAGTCAACAAATCCAAGTTTAACCCTCCTCTTGAGGGTCAAAAGGTTATCTGACACTTACTCTTCGCATGTCAGCAAAAAGTAGATTTCATGGTCCTTTCAATAATGCCATAAAAATGCTAGGTCACCGCTGAAACAAAAAAGTTTTTCAATCGCTCCGTCAGACCATGTCCTCAGAAAATGTCTAAAATCTGCCCTGTGCCCATTGACCTGTGACCTCCAATTTCGGCACAGTGATGGCTTTTCCTACCATGATGCTATACACCAACTATCATGAGCCTAGGTCGAGCCATTTAGATTTGTGCCGCAATTCTGCATTTCCTCCCTATACCTTAAGTTAAGGAGTGAATGTTCCCTTCTTTTACACCTCTTGACCTTTGACCCCCAGCTTCGACATCCCAACTCGTTTTGACGATCCCCCCCAATGTGCCGAATATCGTGACCGTACGTCGAGCGGTTAAGATTTGTGCCCAACTGTTGACGGACGCACGGACGGACGGACGATCAAGCGATTCTACAAGCTGCATCTGACTATGTCAGATGAGCTAAAAATCATTCACACTTTTGTGGGAACCATGTGTATAGTTGTGTGTGGCAAGTTAAAGCATTAGCTGGTGACATATATCAAACCATATATACAAAAATTGTAGTGACGAAATGTTTACAGATTTATGTTTGTACAATTAGGACAAAATATTCATTCAACAAAGATTCACTTCACCAATCCAGCTATTACAATAAAAATTAATAAATCATAGAAGTAATTACTCTAAATGGTGCACCTAAAGCACAGAACGTGTACAGAAGGTCCTCCAGAAAAGGGTCAAATGCCAAAAACTGCTCACCCTGCAAGACATGTTATAATGCAAATGAGCTGTGAGCGACAATTTGAAAACACGCGATTTCCCAGCAAACAGTAGTCCATATGCATATGCACGCAACAAGTTGATATTACCTTGATTCCACGCTGTGATAATCAACCAGAATTTCGTGTGGCCACGTATAGGCGCGCAGCCACGTATAGCTGGCTGGGTACAGCTACTAGTGCAATGAAGCAATCATAGGACACAGCAACAGACAACTTCAAACGCAGCACCCGTGTGAACATCAAGTTATCATGTCACTAAACACTATATCCAACTAAATATGAATTAATTAATGTAAAAGGACTTAATTATTATCTTAAAATAGTACATTACAGCAGGTATTCCACATACAGCTGGGAGACGGATTCCAGATTACAAGACATGAGTGGGATACCAAACATGACAGTCAACCACTTGCATACAAAAGTTACAATTCAATGCGATTAATTATACATAGTTGTAAACCCATTAGTTCGTACACGCGATGTCCACTAGCGTAAGATAGTGTGGGTTCCTAATACACAGGTCTTGGTAACGATTAAAGCCATGAACATCTTGATCTGCAACACATAGTCAACAGATACGAGTGCATGGAATATGCCGTGGCATGAAGCCATGCTCAATTGCTTCTAATACGTTTCCACAGCAAGGAACACACATACGGCACAAACCCATTTAAAGCACATTTACAGTACAGGTAAAAAATAGGAACCATAATACTGACGATTCTCCTATCGTACATTTACATCGTTGTCTGGACCGCGTACCGGCAGACACGAAACCTACAAGCCACGTTGCTTGTACGCCCACGACGGAGAACCTAACAGTCTACAGAGAGACAACTCTTGGGTATCAAGGACTGGCAAGCCAGTTAGTAAAGACGCCGACAACTTAAAACATGATGCGGCTCCACACACAGATGGGAGAGCTGTGTGTGGGGTTTGTATCTGCTTCTGTTTCTTCTCTTGCCTGGCTGCTCTCGTTAGTTTCTTGTTGGTGATGCAGACCGTGACCTGAAGAAGAGAATGTCCACAGCAACTGTACTACAACCATCACACACGTGCTTCTCCTGATGTAGCAATCTCAGTTATTACAGCTTGAGCAGACCTTTCTAGATCTTTCTAGTATACGAACACAAACATAGATACTTGTACTTTGATGTGTGTGCATATGTGTTCATCTTTCTTCTACACACCCAGTTTCCAAAAGCCTACTGAATTTCTGCTGCCAGCTTTCTATAAACCACCACAGATAGGGACCAGAAAAACCAGCAACAGGCCTGTAGATCAGCAATGTTTCTACCTGTGCGACATGCTCGCTCAAGATTTCACAATAATCAGACATCACATCTCATCAATGGGCATGCAAACAATTTTCAGTTTCACGCTGTTCACCGTGTGAAACGAATACTCTCCAACAACTTCTAGTTTCCTTGACAGCAAAACCTTCACAGCAGCCACCTAGCCATTCGTTGACAAGCCATTACCACCGATGAAGAAGCACCTCATATCACCACAAGCACCTTGTTTACATGTGCACTCACTATTACCTGTCTCTATCGGAAGTCGCGTTTTTGACCACTTTACAGTTGCCCTCTGCACTTCTCTCCCTACAATAGGAACGTGGGTAACCGATTTGCACAACGCAGACTAGCCATTATGACCAACCCTGAAGTACTGTGACCTTGAAAGCCTATGATCTCCTGACCTCGTGGATGCTGTCCTGAACTGGCAACCCGGATGATTTCCCTGTGCTTGAATGTATGCGTGTGCTGGCGTGCATGTGGGTGTGTATGCGTGTGCGTACGTGTGGGTGTGTGTGTGTATGCGTGTGCGTACGTGTGGATGTGCGCGTGTATGTGTGAGTGTCCCACGTCCACGTTCTCACATTCACTATCATTTGTATAATTCCGCAAAAACACTACATGGCTGACTTGAACTGCAGTCCTAGCTTACATGCACACTAGCACTAACACAACTATTAATACTACTTCCATCACCAAATAAATAATACGAGCGAACTCTTTTAACAATGACAAGTGTAAAGCTATATTACCTGCTCTGTCTGCGCTGAGCTCGCGGCGGTGGGCTACGCTCCCTACAAAAACAAACACAATCGACGTGTACATGACATGTAAGAGACACACGCCAATAAGATGTCACACTGTTCACAGCAAAGAACTGCACAGCAACACTCACACGCACCCGCGCACGCACGCACAGCATGCCACAGCAGGCCACATGGGAGCTTTACCTCGCAGCGACGGCGGCAAAAAAAACAAGTGCTGCGGAATAAAAACGGTTGTTTAGTCGACTATGTTACCTGCTCGGTCGCAGGCTCCTAGACATGTGCCGCCTGCAATAAAGTAAGCACCCTCGGCAATCCGACCGGCTGCCAACACGTCGGACGACTCCCGTGCGCGACGCACTCACTACATCGCGACGCAGTGTCTTTCACATCACTTAATCCCATATTTCGCAACATGAGAACCAGTAAACCTGAATACTGGGCAACTGCACTAGGAGCACAGGTCGAAAGGCATGCGACCGCGACACTCAAATCTCGAGGAAATCGCAACGTTTACTGTCATTGTCAGTGCCAGCTGCACTCACAGAAGCAGCAGAGCACGGTCATCTAGCACTAACAGCAATCTCAGTACTGTCAGATCATAGCAAGATGTTAATTCAGTAAACCGCTTATCTAAAGGTTCCTCGGCAAGCCCTTCCCTATCACTGCATGCGCTACCAATTGTTTAATAAACGTTATAAAGAACGAAACGCATGAGAGCTGACACCATCATCTGCTAGTTTACTCTAAAAGCCAAACGCGTAAAACTGGCAACAGACCAGATGCTTTAGCTGCAGGTTCGCCAAGACTGGCACCAACTACTATTCCAATCTATTCACGACTTATTCGTTAAAATCTACCAGGCCGATAAAGACACCTCAGATTTAAAATAGCCTTGTTCCACTAGTCAAATCGGCAAAAACAGTGATTATTGGAGAGCACCCACACCAACAAACTGGTATGCAGATCCGATTGCTAGCTATCTTACCAATTAGGGCTCCTGGACGGACTTCTTCTGCGCTCCCTATAGACAGAAAGAGGAAAATGTGATTTGGTTAGGGCCCAATGTAGCAACGAAACGTGGCGAGCCAAGGAGACGATCGCTGTGCCTCGTGGCTTGTAGGCATCTGCCAACGCGCCTGGGAAACTGGGCAAATCATTAAAGTAAATGATATTAATGGCCTAAATATCTACAATACACACTAACGTCGCGTAACTACTCTACATGGTTCACTGTCACCCGCTTCACTGTCTCCACTACAGCACTACACCCTGCAGTTCCCAACAATCATCACTCAAGCAACGCAGCTTGCGCATCATTGTCAACAGCAACATCATCATTCTTTGTGATTGTTATTAACAGTAAACGGACATGGGTGCTGGTGGCTGCGATTGTCAACTGGTAGCTTATGCTAGGGACACGCGAAGGTGACGCATATTTACCTGCTTCTGCTGTGACTGCGGCTCGGGCTACGACGATGACGCCGCGGTGACCTTGACCTACAACATGACGACAAGAGAACATGTTAGAAGACAGTAGTAACAACAAGACTGACACAAAGAATTCTGGCTAGTCATTCACATGCTCTATACCTACACCTACCTGCACTGTGAAAATTACGTACAACTGCCTGACTAGCTAGGACTAATATCACCTGATAGCTGCTTCTATGGGGCAATTGACACTATGAGTCACTGGCTGTGGGCAGTCAAAACTGTTTATACTAGGATCTATAATGGGCAGAATATAATTTCTGTGATGCAGTAGAGAAGTGTAAAGTGCAGTGCATGTTTCAATTATAATTGCCATTATAGATAAAGTAAGAATACCATGCGAAAACAACTTCTTCGGAGCAGGTTCTTAAAAGAATTTATGTAAACGATGTACGTCTCACCTATAGGAAATAATGTTACAGACTGTGCATAGCAGTCTAGTGTAGTGTAGTGTAGTGCAATGTAGTGTAGTGTAACATAGTTTATTGTTATGGTATGAAATTTACTGCTCTAAAAATTACGACAATGAACTGATGCTGGTGCTGGATAATAACAATGCACACGGCTCCATCTTCAAGTCTTGCACAGCGCTGATGTCTAGACGTTAACTGCCTACACTGCAACCTACACTGCTTGTAGAATTACTAGAATAGTAAATCGGAACGACAGATGAAAACTGATGACTAGTGAAAGAGTAGATGGAGGGTGAACTTACTGCAACAATTATCACTTCAATTCTGCTATTACTGTATACTGGAACACGGATCAACTTGCATGATACTTGCAAATACACACCACTAGCTAAATTGTGGGGAATAATTACTTAGCTATATAGCCATAGAGGCTAGTATTTGTTATGTAAAATCCAATCTAGGCACATTAAAAAGCATGTTAAATTAGATCCACAAAAGAGAATGGACCTACGTGATTACTACACTACATGTCAGGCAGCTAAGCATGGCTGCTCTGCACATCTCCACTTCGCAATTATGATTACCTTCATTACATGTACTTGTAACATTCACACTCTTACACATAGTTTAACTGCACCTTCGAAGCGAGCTGTAGAGGAAAGAAGCTGGTAGTTGTTGGGGTTGTCACGATGATGCTGGCTGGGTTGGTTGTGGAGTTGCCACATTGAAGTTGCCATGGTGATGTGGTGGCCATGGTGATGCTGATAGGCCAGTTGTTTTAGGTGGTTTTCTAGTGCTGCTGCTGCCTGGGTGGTTGTTGGGGTGGCGGCAGCGCTGGCAAGCAGTCGAGGGAGGATGTCTGTGCTGTGTGACCTGAGCGCCCCTAGGGCTGGCGGTTTGATGCGCCAACAGGCAGATCCCGTGCGCGACTACTGTGTAGGAAGCTTAATGCGCTGGCGATGGTAACCATGGCAACATGAAGTGTTGGCAGACGTTGGGCTGCGAGACGTTCCGAGCAGGTCCGACGTGGGGCTGCACCGGCCACTAGCTGAACGGCAGCGCGTGACAGAGACGGCCGTGATGCGATGGTGAAGGTGTGACGGAGCTGACAGCTCACGGCTCGCGAGAGCACATCATGTACGCGCGAAAACAGCTGAGAGTTGGGAGAGAGAGGAGACGGTTGATTCCCTGAAAGGTTCACACGTCACGACTTTAGTATAAATGATACGGTACAATAACATGACAACGTCACTGTCATACGCATAATTGCATGCACCCATTCTGCATGCCAAGTAAAAATTGCACAGGTGAATTACATTGTAAAAAATGCACACACAAAAATAGTTTGCGAAACTTGTAATAATTGACAAAATTAAATATAAAACAACACTAATACTTTTTGCATAAATGAAAAATTACTTCACCGCACCGACGACCTACGACCGATGACTTACGGCACCGATACCACCAATCGAAATAGAACAAAGAAGTGTAAATCAATCACCACCCAGTAAATACTACACACTATATCATTATCATACCAAAATTAGCAGAGTTTTTACCCACTCAACAATTGGTTTTTTGGCCCTGGTAACTGGGTAAAATGCTTGGTCCGTTTGGGTCTTAGCATAGTTCCTTATAGTCTAGATAGTAACCCTGCCGAAAACTGTAGCAACTCTAGTAATGTTAAGACCCCTCTTGTAATAATTCACTGCCTGTGTCATAGTTTTTATCAATATTTGTAGTTTGTTTAACACTAATATTGTGCTACTTATAACATACAAACTTGAATAAGTCTGAAATAAACTACAGCTTTCTACATTACTATTCGCTAAGATAGGATTCCAAGTGACCTAAATCATTTAAAGGGATCGTTTACTCTAGGTTCTAGGGTTATTTTCAGTTAATTTAGGTTAAAATTACGCTACATAAAAAGTTTCATGGTTCAATCACCATTAGAAATATTATTAAAAAATGTTTTAAAACTAACGACTACAGTTTGATTACAACTGGTGCCACTCAAAGCGCACGATCTGATAAGTTGCGCAAAACAAATTTTCAGCAAAGGGCTACAGACCAAGGGTGTTTCTTATTTATTAATTTAAAAGCAAAAGGATTGTAATATCTTATAAACGACATATAGTTTCAGTTATATTATGGATAAATTTGTCCTAAAATGAACATCGTTCAGTTAAATAGCATTTAGGTATAAATATAATTGCACCTTTGTGATTAGCTCTCGGTCTGTAACGTGCAAAATAAATTGGCAAATGCGCAACTTTTTCAGGGTGGCAGCACGGTCGCGGGTGTCAATGGCGCCGTTCAAATTTCGTAGCGTTGATGTATAATTAATTATAACAATTAAATTAGGTATCTGGTAACAAGTACGTGTGGGTATAGACGATTTGTTATACAGTAAGTACAGTTGTATGCAGTAAAATCCTAGAGTCTACTATCCCTTTAAATACAGGTGCAAACTCGTTTATGGATGCTTTAGACTGCTAGTCACCCAGTTTATCATTTAGATGTATTATGTTCTACCAATGACAATCAACCACCTTTGTACCAGAACCTTCATCCCTACATGTTCGCACGCAACACCCCACTACCACAAACACACACATCAATCACATTTCCTTATGATGCCAAGCAAAATCCTTATCCTTATAATGGTCACACTGCAATCCAAACTTATTTGCTATGTCACCATCGCTCTCACACCTCTCATTACACTACAAGAAATGTAAAAACACTACACACCACAACGTTACCACTGCCTCTCACATACTCTTTGTATTTGTGTGTCAAAGTAATATTGAGACCCATAAATTAAGCGTAGTGCGGTGGGATACAAACCTTGATCGTGGGTAGTAGCGTTCACTCCTCTGGGGCATACCTCCTCCGCCACCCATCCCACCGCCACGACGACCGCCCCTACGACTCCTTCCGCTGGACATTTCCGCCCTGATGCGGACACCACAACAACGCCTGCAACAGCAAACACAAGAGCATTGCAACAGAATCACTCAGAAATGAAACCCAACATTTTAAATTCGGCATCAATTCACACGTTACTGGTATTGCAAATAAACAAGAATCTACAGCCTACAGGGTGCAACTTTATAATGTTAACCAAAGAGTAAGGAATTGAATTTCAATATGGGATGACGGAAACAAAGAAGATAAACCTGAAGAGATTTAAATTGACTTGAATTAAATAAAATGCAATAAACTGTGATATCTAAGAAATGGTGATACTAGTTACTCACGCTCCATCCATAGCCCTGACAGCATCTTCTGCATCACGGGTGTCTTCAAACTCTATGAAAGCAAAGCCTGGTGGTTTTCTTGCGACCCAAACGTTACGAAGAGGCCCGTACTTGCTGAATGACGACTCTAGCTCATGCTCGGTTGCATTATTGCCCAAGTCTCCAACATAGACCTTACAGTCCAAGGGCCACTCCTTCATCATACTCATACTGTAAGAGATATAGAATGTGAAACGATGCACGTCTTACATGCAATAATAGCCACGAGCGACACAAAACTGAGAAAAAAAAAAGGATACACAAGACGCCATATTTACACTCTTTCAGTCTTTGTTACATGTTCTCTATCCTTGAACCGTAAGTTGTACTTGTAAGTTGTAGTAAAACAGAACCCAACGACTGCTGTACAGAAAGGTACATTTTAACTTCTTACTCTACACTGTGACTTGAACTTCTTTGGGTATAAAGACCTGGATACCGACAGACTTTGGAGTTAACACTATATACCGTATGGAGCGTACATACCTTGAAAGTATGTTATTTGCAAACAGAATAACTAAGATGGACGACTTCTCTTGCTGCCTTGTTTGACACGTGACCACTATTACCCGGCCGACCAATCGGAAAGCCCGCAGCTCTAGACGGGTAGCGTCTATTTTTTCCGTACCGCAAATGCGCAAACGTCCTACACGGGTTCCTCTGATTGGCTGCTTTGATTTGCTTTGACCATAGCTTTGACGCAACAAACCTTCAAAACAAGAGAACAAACGCTCATTTGTAAATATTTGTTTTAGTTCATCATCAGTAGATAAGTAAGTTTTCTGATGTATTTTCTATGAAAAACACACATTTTACTCATTAATATAAAATATAATATCACTATAATTCTTTGTGTAACTGTGTTATTTTTATCTTAATCTCAAGTTATACCCCGCACGTCAAATTCTTTCTAACAGACAGTCCCAACAAATCCAAGTTTAACACCTCGCTCTTGAGTGGTCAAAAGGTTATCGTGACACTTACTTTTCCAGTCAGCAAAAAGGTAGATTTCATGGCGCTGTCTCAATAATGGTCGGGCGGCGCATAACCTGCTCACGTGGTGGGGGCAGTTCCGCCGGGGTAGTTGTGGCTCTGAAACACTAACTTGCGATGTTGGGTTGTCGGACAGCAGATGTCCTCCGATGAAAACAGTACGAGTACTAGTGTCACCGACTGTAAGCTCACTGTTGATAGTCTGTTAACGCGCTCGCAGCACGCTGCCACCATGTTAACACGCCAGTATAAACATAACTCAGAGTGAAAGATAACACACATAGTTTATTCGTACACTTCTTGTTCCCGCAATCTTCCAACTACCACGATCACACCACGTGACCCTTCACACATACAGGGCGGGAACATGGAAACAATACGCGGTGTGATAAGCACGCCGGTAATTACTCCATGTGCGTTCCAAATTTTGCGGGTTAGGGGGGTGTTTTTCAACTTCTAAAGCGGGCCCGCGCGGGAGCAAATAGGCCGCCCCTTTACAAAGACTATCCGCGCAATAAGCCCTCGGGATTCGTTCAAGTCAAGCACAGCGCCCGCAGTAGGCCCCCTCATGGTTCCCCTCCATTCCCTCCACTCTGCCCTCCACTTAATTGTCTGCAAGACCTCCGGGTAGTAGGGGTCAGGGTAGGACTCTTTCATTGTGTATGCAATAGGGGTGGGATATTTTTATGTGTATGCAATAGGGGGTGATATTCTTCAATTGTGTCTGCAATAGGGGGTAGGGTTTTCCAATGTGCAGTTCGCACTAGGGGGCCTATTATTTTTAGTGAGAACGCACATGGGGTAATACCGGCATATATAGTGACCCCGGGATAGTGAACCCCCCCCCCCGGGATGTGTGCGTGTGTGTGTGCGTGTCTGCGTCACTGATCTCTATAATATAATATTATATTATAGAGATCAGTGGTCTGCGTTCGTTTCGGCCCTGGTGAGTAGGCCCTCTAGCGGCTGTTACGATCAGGAGCGGTAATCATTAACGTTCATGTTTGTTGGTGGACAAATTTAGATGTCCAACGCAAACATGCAAATACGCAATAATGTATCAAAGACAATGTTCGAGAATTAGGTAGGCCTATATTGGCAAGCATCCGAAAAATTCATGATAAATATAAAATAAACACGCGAACTTAAGCCGCGTTCACACGGTCATGATTTGGCTCGAGCCAAATGGGCTAGATTTGGCTCGGGCGCATAATTGAGTCGGCGCGTTCACACGTACGCAAGTGAATACTGTCTGTCAAATTCAAATTCAAATTCAAATAAATTTTATTGCAGCAAATATCTCAGCAGATAGAAGTTGGCAGTATGTCGCGAGAATGGCTGTTGTTTACTATTTAGAGTGTTTACTTACGTTCCGAGTTTAATTATCAATCTTGAAAACGTGCATCCTGATTAAATTTTTCGAATTTTTATACTGTTTTGGAACTGTTATACTGTTTTGGAATTTTTATACTGTTATAAAGTTATAATTTTTATACTGTTTCAACCGATTCTAGTAATTTCTACCTCTCCTACCGCTCGCCGAAAGCATGGTGCTAAAATTTGTGCTCGGCCTGGTCCGACGTTTTCGATGGGGCCAAATCTGGCTCGGGCTAATTAGGCTCGGGCCAAAAAACGTCCGTGTGAACGCTCGGCTCGAGCTAACCCGACCAGGCTGTGTGACTAACGTCAATACACCGTCAAACAATAGGTATTCTAACCCTAGCAATACCGTTTCTTGGAGCTAGGCTCGAGCCAAATCTGGCACGGGCCTAATTAGGCTCGGGCCAAAAACGTCCGTGTGAACGCGCCTATAGTTTAGTAAACAGCGTAATGATTTGAAAGTAGTAAATGGGCGCACAATACGCGCACTGTTTCGTATCACTATTTTATCAATTTCTCATAAAATAATGTCGGATTTTTTAATATCTTTGGCAACTTTTACTAGTGCAAATCTTATTACATAGGATACGAGTAACCTGGTCGCTGTAAAACGGGAGTTGTGGTAAAAGAGCGTTAAAAATTGTAACGGAAAATCTACTTGTGGCAGCAATCGGAAAAACCCATTCGGCTCTTTCCGTCATTCCTAGAAAAGAGTTCCGCTCATATGTTCCGCTTGAATAATGCAACCACAAAACATCGCGTCAGCTTTAGCAGAGCATATAAATTTATATTATAAATTTTATATTTGATTATTTCTGTGGGTACCCATCGAGTAATCGAGGTGGGAGCGAGTACCCGTCTGGCGTCTATTTTTTCCGTAGCCGCAAATGCGCAAACGTCCTACACGGGTTCCTCTGATTGGCTGCTTTGATTTGCTTTGACGGCAACAAACTTCAAAACAAGAGAACAAACGCACCGTTTGTAAAATATTTGTTTTAGTTCATCATCAGTAGATAAGTAAGTTTTCTGATGTATTTTCTATGAAAAACAACATTTTACTCATTAATATAAAATATAACTAATCACCTATAATTAACAATTCTGTGTGTAACTGGTGTTATTTTTCATCTTAATCTCAAGTTATGAGAGGGTTTGGGCTCTCGTAACCACTTACTACATACGTAGCGTATGCGTACTCGGCCTATAGCAGCTGAAGGGGTCGTTGTCGTATCAGGTACTACAGATATGTACCCGAGGTACGTATATGTATACACAAGTGTACCAGACCTGTATCTTCTCTCTCAGCATATATGTATCCTGTGTTTACATAAACGTACCTGCCCCTGAGATGGAGATCGAATGAAGACGGTCATGGAGGAGGAGTAAGGGGCAGGAGGAAGAGGAGGAGGAGGAGAAGGAGGAGGAGGAGAATGAGGGAAGAAGGCGATGGAGTAGGGGGAGGAGGAGGGGAGGAGGAGGAGTAGTGGAGGAGGAGGGGAGGAGGAGGAGGGGAGGAGGAGGAGGGGAGGAGGAGGAGGAGAGAAGGTGATGGAGTAGGGGGAGGAGGAGGAGGGGAGGAGGAGGAGGGAGGTGATGGGGTAGGGGGAGGAGGAGGAAGAGGAGGAGGGGAGGAGGGGGAGGAGGAGAAGCGGAGAAGGTGATGGAGATCGAATGAAGTAGGTCATAGAGGAGGAGGGGCAGGAGGAGGAGGAGGAGGAGGAGGATGAGAAAAGGTGATGGAGAGGAGGAGGAAGAGAGAAAAGGAGTAGGGGGAGGAGGAGGAGGGGAGGAGGAGAAGGAGGGGAGGAGGAGGAGGGGAGGAGGAGGAGGGAAGTAGGAGGAGGAGGATGAGGGGAGAAGGTGCTGGAGAAGGGAGAGGAAGAGAAGAGAGAGGAGAGAAGGTGATGGGGAGGAAATAGGATCGCAAGAGGAGGCGGATGACGGGAAGGAAGGGAGGAAGAAGGATGGAGGGACGGAGGCAGGAGGAGGAGGGAAGAATGGTGATGGAGCAGAGGGGGAGGGAGGAGGAGGGGTGGATGAGGAGGAGTGGATGGAGGGGGAGTGGAGCGACAGACGGGAGGGACGGAGAGGAAAGATAATGTATGCGAGAGTAGGGGAGCAAGGAGGAGGAGGAGGAGAGCAGAGAGGAAGGAGGAGAGAAAGTGATGGAGCGTAGGGGGCGAGGAGGAGGGTGAGAAGGAAGAGGAGGAGGAGGGGGGATGGAATAGGGGAGAAGGAGGAGGAAGGAGGAAGACAGGGAGGAGGAGGAGGAAGAGGGGGGAAGGAGGAAGAGCGGAGAAGGTGAAATGGAGATCGAACATAAGAGAAAGGTCATAAGAGAGAGAGAGGAGGCGGGGGGCAAGGACGGAAGGAGGAGGAGAAGAGGAGGAGGAGGAGAGAAGGTGATTGGAGTAGGGGGAGGACGAGAAGGTGGGGAGGAGACGGGAGAGAGAAGGAAGGAGGAGGAGGAGGAGGAGAGAAGGTGAGAGTAGGAGGGAGGAGAGGAGGGTGGAAGTGAGGAAGAGGAGGAGGAGGAGGGGATAAGGAATAGGGGGAGGAGGAGGAAGGAAAGGAGGAAGACGAGGAGGAGGAGGAGGAAGGGAAGGAGGGAAGGAGGAAGAGCGGAGAAGGTGATGGGATCGAATGAAGAGGTCATAAGAAGGCAGGAGGAGGGGCAAGAGGAGATGGAGGAGCGAAGAGGAAGGAGGAGGAAGAGAAGGTGATGGAGTAGGAGGAGGAGGAGGTGGGAGGAGGGAGAGGAGAGAAGAAGGAGGAGGAGGGAGAAGTGATGGAACAAGGGGGGGTTTGGAGGCAGGAGGTAGGATCACCTCTCACCGGCTTGCTTCAACTCTATACACATGTCGTCCCCTCTCCTGCCTCCTCCTCCGCCTCCTCCCTCCCTAGCCACCTACTCCCTGCCTCGCCATCACCTTCCTTCCCCTCCTCCATCCTCTCCTCCTCTCCTCCTCCTCTTCCTCCTCCTCTTCCCCCTAAACTCCAACACGTCTCCCTCCTCCTCCTCCTCCTCCTCCCCCTACTCCAACACCGTTCTTTCCCCCCCTCCTCCAACTCCTCCTCCTCCTCTCTCCTCCTCCTGCTCCTCCCTACATTCCAACCCTTTCAGCCTCTCCTCGCGTCCTGCCTCGCATACTCCTCACACTTCATCCGCCGGTTCTCCTCGCTTCTCCTCCTCCGCCTCCTGCACATCACCTTCTCC